ATTATTAAAGTTGTTCATCTTCCCTCAAGTGTTGCTGGAGTTCCTGCTTTGTGAATTCTTTCATCCTCTCCATGCATTTTTTTGCTGTGATACATCAAGAGCCAGTACAGTGACGATATCTCCCTGATATCTCCCCTCCTAAACTGCAAGAAGTGGAGGAAAGTTTCACAAGTTTTATAAAAACTGCCCCCAGGTGCCCAGAGCACTGTGGAAGTTGATTAAAAAAAACAGCCAGGAGGGAGCAACAGAAATCGAAGCAACCTGCATAGGTGCTTCACTGTGGAGTGCTTCACGCCATGATGGCAACAGGGACAACAAGGAATAGTTATAAGATATGTCATCTTATGTTCCTGTATACTATGCCGGCCACTTGGTTATGGCGTTCCATGTATGCTGTGCCTGCTAGCATCTTGCACCCTGCTGTTATGTGCTGGATTGTCTCAGGGGCATCTTTACACAGCCTGCACCTGGGGTCTTGCCTGGTGTGATAGGAACAAGCTCTGAGCACAAGCTCCATAGAGGCTGGCGTCTATGCTGCCATGATTAGTGCCTCTGTGCTGTCTTTCAATCCAGCTTTGTCCAGCCACTGGTAGGATTTCTGTCAGCCACCTCCTCTATCTGCTGGTGTTACATACCGTGCAGGGGCCTGTCCTTCCATGATGGTTCCTCCTCTCCCTCCTCTTTCTTGGGTTTCTGCTGCCTGAGGTGTTCACTGAGCACGTGGTCAGTTGGGGCCATCTTCATGATGTATTCGTGGATGTTCGTTGTCTCATCCTGGACCATGGTGCTGACACTCACCAGTCCCCGGCCTCCTTCCTTCCGCTTAGCGTACAGCCTCAGGGTGCTGGACTTGTAGCCAGTCTTGTCAATGATCTCACTGAGGGGGTTCAGGCCTATGCAGAGCAGCAGTGCAGACAGAGCATCTCCTTGGTAGATCGCGCATTTGATGGTGACTTGTGCTATGGGCTTGAAGTTGACCTCCAGTTTGTCCGTCACATCCCCACTGAGTTCCTGATGAAGGCTCTTTTCGTCAACTAGCAGCTGGTTCATTTGTGCCGCTCGGCGCTCATGGAATACAGTCAGCTTCTTCAGCCAGTAGGCGTAAATCATGCGGGTGCCTGGTGCTGTCCAACTCGTCATACTGGAGAACCGTTCTTAGATGTCTGCCACTGTGATGGTTACTGGACTCTGTTCAGGGAGTTTGCTGTGGTCTGCCCTCAGATCCACTAGCCACTGAGCATTGCCGTTATGGGTTGCATCCTTCTCCCATATGCTCTTCCAGTATTGTTCCGTCTCCAGCCTTGGTGGTGCTGTTCTCATATTGTTACCCTGCCACTGAGGATATACTTTGGATGGCTCTTTGGAAAACAGATGGTTTATTCTACTGCCTTCGACCTCTCTGGTGTACCTCTTCAAGCAGCTGGCCAAGGCTGTGAGTCGTTGCTTGGCAGTTTCCAAGGCCTCAGGTACGGACAGCTTCCTGTACATCTTAGTCACCTTCTTTGTCGCACTTTCTGCAGCGCCGATATTTGGATAACCTCCACCGTGCTACTTTGATCCAAGCCTCTAGTCTCCTT